TTATTAATCTAAATAATAGCTATATGTAATTCACAATTATCTTCTAATAAATGAATAAATAAATATGCTTAATTGCGTTTTTTTTAATAAAAAAAAAAAACTAAAAAGCAGAAATGCACAATAAAATAAGCCAAAAATCAAGTACTTACAATAATTATTTATAATAATTTCTTAGTAATGCAATAAAATTTTATTAGAGTTTGTTCATAAAATTTGAACTTTTTTTATTCATGTTATCTGAATGATAAATAAGACTGTTATAAAACTTTTTATAAAGACTTGACCAAAATTATAACTCAAAAAGTTGAAGCACAAGTAATACTTAAAAAACAAGAAAGTTTTAATAAAAAATAATAGAAAATAAAAAATACAGATATATTTCATTCACAATAATGAGTAGAAAAGACATAATTTCTAAGAATTTTTTTAACTAGCAACTTCAGAAAATCCAAGGGCCAATAAAAAGACTGCTTGTTTATTATGTATCCAAAATATACATTACCTATTGCACTTACAAATCCTAAGTGCTTTGTTTTAAACAAGGCAAAGTTATGCCAAAGGTACTTTAAAGATTGTTCAAACTTTAGATCTGAATTTAGTGCAGATAAAATTTTAGAGATTCTTGCATGATCTGTGCCTAAAGATATTAAAAAGGTTATTAAAAAAAAGATGATTAACAAGGTAACTATATTAATTATATAAATACAGTTAGTTTATACTATATGATATTAATTACTTCTCAATAAATTAGTAGTGATTGATGTTAAATCTGCATCTGAAGATGAAACTATCACATCTTCCACAATCTCAAAAACTGATTTATCACTTAACAAAAATTTCATTTCAACAAAACAAAATCAAAAATTTCTTACTAGTTATGTTTCATATTCACTATCTAGTAAAGATAAAGAACATTTTGAAAATTTAATATTATGTATGATAGTATCTAATTGTCTTTCTTTTATATTCATGAAGAATCAGAAAACACAAGATGTGTTTAATTATATTGCACCAGTTCTAAAGCTATCTAATCGACATGCAATAAGTAATCATATCTTTTCAAAGTATTTAGAAAAACTAACTAAAAAGATCTTACAACACATACAGATAAAATTGGTGTAATAGCAGTCTTTAATGGCTGGATGAACATTAAACAAAAGCATCTTTTTGGTATCGTGTTGATCACTTCTCAAGGTAAAGCCTTGGTTTGGAATGCATATAATATAAGCAATCAATAATCAAAAACTAAAAATATGAAAATTCTTATTAAAAATATGATGGATGATATAGAACTAAAGAGTATAAAAATTAATTGTTTTGTGTCAGATTCTGCTAGCAAGTTGCAGCTGCAAGATAAGTATTAAGACATATTAATTGACTTATTGCAAAATATAATATAAAATATAATTATCTTTTTTTTTTTATAAGCATCAGCTAAGAGTAGAATATCCAAATAAGGTTTTTATGCCATATATGGCACATCAAATGAACTTAGTTTTTAGTGACATTTTTAAGGTGTCAGATATATTTAATGCATCATCAAAAAAGACAATATGTATTGTAAGTTATTTTCATATATCCCCATATTTTACCAGATTATTACAAAATAAACAAAGGTCTTTTTATGGACAATCTATTTTTCTTATAACTTCTGATAAAACATGTTGGAACATTTTTACTTTTGTTTTTATTTTGTTTTAAAAACTGAGTTCATATTTAAGGTATGTAATATTTACTAACTAAATAAAATTAGTAAAGCATTTTTAATAATAAAAACAACTCTTTTCTACATTATCATTATTTATAATTAGATGTTAGCTACAAAATTTTCAGCAACAAAAATTGGAACTGCAAGTACTTTTTGAAGTGGACTATTATGGCAATGATTTTTATTAGAAAATGCTAATGCAACTAAAATGCTTTTATCTGATATTATATCAATTATACAAGATCCTTATTTTTGGATTTAGCTATATGAACTTTGGAATTTATTATTTCCATTATGTAGTATTTTAAATAAACTCCAAAAGGACATTATAAGGCTTTTTGAAATATTACATTGCTTTGAATGAATTATCAAAGTTTTTGCAGACTATAAAGACAAGCAATTTTCTGATCATATAGTAACCCGATTAGAGAATCAGTAGGCACAATAGGAACAACCCTTACTTCTTTTGTCACTTGTTTTACATCTAAAATATAAGCTCTTTAAATTTTCTTCTACTATCTCTGGTCTCTCTTATTCACATTTTGGTCAATAGATAAACTACTATTATTATGTATAGTTTGACGAGATTCCAACACATATTTTACATGACTTTTTACTGTATCAAAGAGAAGAATTTTCTTTTAATAAGAAAACATATGATCAATTCAAAGAAAATATTATAGATTTTTGAGATTCAGCAAAAGAATTAGCATTAGAATTATTCTGATTGGCTCTACAATTGTTTGGCATTTGTATTAATGCTGCTTTATTTAAATGCTTATGGTCATTCATAAAGTTTTTATACACAAAGCATTAAAATTATTTGCCTATATGTACATTATTTGGCTTTTATAATTTTCTATTGCTAAGTTTACTTATTTTATTTTATTTTAGCATAACAAGGTATTGGCATATATTAAGCAAGAAAAAACATAGTGAAGTCAAAAAGGATAAACAACAGTATAAGCAAATTCATGCTATAACTTTTATTCAACAAGAATTGACCGAATCTTTCTCATTTAAAAGTAATAATATAGAAAATAAATTATTAGATTCTAACAATTCATTAACTCAATTAAGCAAAACTCTTGAAATGAATGATAATGTAGTTGATAATATTGAAGAAAATTGGTTATGCATAGTTGAAAATTTAATTGGTTTGTTGAATAGTAAAAATCAGTTAAATAATAGTGAAATTGTAGATAGTGAGCCACTCGAATTTGAATTGCATAAGCATATTACTTATCCAGTAGATAATCTATCAGCAAAATGGAGTTTGTTAAAATTATTTCATGATTTGTTAGAAGCATCTGTCTTTTTGTTTATTAGTAATTTAATGAAATTTGATAAATTTTTGAGTTAAAATATAAAAATTGAACTGATATAATATCAAAAGCATAGTATCAAATATGTGACCCTCAAAACAGTTCACAGATGGATAAGTGAAAATAAAGTATTAAAGCATTTCAATATAAAGCTACTAAATACAAGAATTGAAAATGAAAAATTTAAATAATTTGTGAATTTGTAATATAAATGTGTTATAAATGATAAGTCTAATTGGTTAAATTAAATTAATAGTAATGATTTATTTGTATATATACTTGGATTTTTTTTATTATTAATCTTTAGCATGATCACTACAGGTTGTCATTAGCATATAATTACTAAATGATCATTTATTCAGATTAATTAGCACCAATAAAATAAAATATGTAATTGTTTATATAACAGATTTATTTAAATAACAAAAAGAAGCAAGCATCTGATTTATTAGTTATTTTTTAGGTATCAAAAGTATTTAATTCTTTGTGTTTTTTTATATTATTGCTAATCTATTTTTTTTTTTTTTTTTTTTTTTTTTTACATTTATATTTGTTATGCTTATTAAAATCTGGCTTGCTGATTGTGGTTTTGTAAGTTTAATTTTTATTTTATTTTTTTGCTTCTTTTATTTCCTTACCTTATTACTTTTGTAATATAAAATTATATTACAAGTTATCTCTGATCATGATTTTTTTTTAATTTAGTTACATGCATCTCATTTTTGTTGCTTAGCTGTGGGCATATTTATTCATATTTGTATTTTCAAGGTTGATTTTTGGATACTAATTTAATAACATTTGATTATATTTCCAGTCACTACTAATTTAATATTTTAAGATATTAGTTTGGCTTAAGTTTTTGTTATTACAATTTTTAAATAATCAAATCATTGTTATATAAATAAAATATAAAAATATGCTTTAAAATAATGTTTAGAAGAGTGAAATACATATATTATATATATATATATTTTTTTTATTAAAACGCATTTAAGCGTGCTTTTTATTAAGATATGAATTTACATTAGAGTTTGATAAATTTTATAATGTTTCTAATTTCTTTCTTATTCACATTAACCTTTCTAGAA